CATAACCCACAAAATCTTGGGCCATCCCGCTGCCAGCAACGAGCCCATGGGCAGGCAGTGCACTCCCCACATGCTTCTCTCCCAGGTAGAATAGGGAAGCAGCAGGAGATGTGCTCTCCACATGCCCATCCCCTGGGCAGAGCGGGGAGCAGGAAGCTAGGCTCCATCTGGCCCCAGAGCCCCACTGAGGCCAGGAGTAAGCATCTAGTGTGCCCGGTGCTGCCTAGAGCTAGGAGGCACAGGGGCTCTCAGCACCTGCTCACAACTGTAGGGCATGTGCAGGCAGGCAGGGGGCTGGGTTCGCTCTGGTCAACCTGGAATTTCCCTCATACGGCAGTGCAGGCCACACTGCTTCCCTCCAAGGAAGCCAAGGACACCTTGCTCACAACCAGCCAGACACCGGCTCTGATGGCAGGAACTGGCCCACTTGGTGAACACTGGAGACCAGGTACCGGCAAGTGCCTTGTGGCACTTTATAGTGTCTGTGGCCCCAACTACCTACAGGAGTGGGTTTGGTAGAGGCCCAGCTTATGAATCAGGCTTGGGAGTGAGGAGTATACCTGAAGAGCCTAGCCACCCAAGGAAAAGGCAGACATAAACTATAAGGCCGAAGCACAGCCCGCAAACAAACACTGGACACCCTTATTTGTATTGTATTTCTTTATTAATGCTGATGCGACATGGACATCGCTGACAATAGACCCTCATCAAGGTCACAGGGCTGGGTCAGCCCACGTTGGCCCCATGCCCTTCTGTTTATCTTTTGGAGCTGACCTTTCCCTCCATTATGTGAAGGCAGGCACCTAGGGGACAAGGTGCCTACCCCGAGCGGAGCACAGAAACACCTGAGTGGAAAGGGGTGGGGTGTAGGGGAGGCAGACCCCCACAAAAGACGCCCAGACACCAAGACCTGCACCCTTCTCAACAAACCCCCACTAATGGTCAGGTAGCAACTCCTCATATCCTTTTACATTTAACAACAAGTTGTGGCAGGTGTGATATAAAAACAGGAATGAAAACACCTGTTGAGAGTGCAAAACTCTAAAACCCTTGGTTCAGAGATTATACCTTTTATTAGAACTAAGAAATCACAAAAAAATTCTTTCTTTGCAAGCTTTCAGGCACATGCACCCTTCTTCAGGATAAGGGAAAATTAAAAATGGTAAAAGTCCCCTTAGGTAGAAAATAAACTTCATTTTGCATAGAGGAAGCTGAAGGTGGATGCATGTTCTTGTGGGTCCATGAGAGTTCCTTTGTGTGAATTGATCTCTGATGTGCAGATAAGGTCGCTTTTCTTCCCTGGTGGTGTCAGATGGAAGAAAGGCATGGAGAATGTTTTTGTTCTTGTTTAACAATGAAGTTTATAATTCCAAAAATAGCTACCAAAGGGGACTGTTACCATCTTTAATATTTGCTTAGCCTAAAGAATGGCACATGTGCCCAAAAGATTGCAACGAAAGATTTTTTTTTTTGCAATTTCTTAGTTGGTCTAATAAAAGGTATCATCTTTGAACTAAGCGTTTTAGAGTTTTGCATCTATTTTTGTTTCAGACCAACACAGCTACCAAATACATCCCTGAAACATGGAAAATGCCATATTTTAGCCAATTTTGGAATGATAAACTTCACTGCTAATATCTTCAGAAAAGCAGGCTTTGACTCACTCACGGAATTCATAGGCAGGATCCCCTGAGAAGCCAGACTGAGAGGGAGAGGAGTCCAGGAGAGCTGGCTGTACTTTAAAGTAGCCTTACTGAGAGTGCAGGAACAAGCCATCCCAATGTGCAGGAAGACTAGCAAGTATGGCAGAAGACCAGCTCGGCTTAGCAGGGAACTCTTCAGTAAACTAAATTAAAAACACTGAAACAGGTTACCCAGAGCTGTATTAGAAGCTCCAGCCTTGGAGGTTTTCAAAACCTGGCTAGACAAACCTTTGGCTGGGATGATCTAGTTGGGGGTGGTTCTGCTTTGAGCAGGGTGTTGGACAAGATGACCTCCTGAGGTCCCTTCCAACCCTAACTTTCTATGATTCTATTAATTGATCTCTATCTCTATCTCTTGACATTTCATTTTAATCATGGAAGAATGCAGATTTGGGTTTTTTTATCAGAGAATCTGTAAAGTTTAAAGAGAGGACACCAGGATCCCTGCTGGTGAGGCAAGTGGTGGTACCTGAGCAGAGGAGCCTGCCCAGCGCCAGCACTGGGGACTCAGCTGGAGGGCAAACAAAGTGACTGACCTCCTGGCCAGTTGGGACCAGAAGGAAATGCTTCAACTGTTCAAAGCGGGCTGCCAGAATGAGCTGTTCTGGGTGACAGCTGTCCAGATGGCAGAGCAGTGACACCAGAAAACATGACAGCAGTGCCGCACGAAGGTGATCTGTGCAGCCATGGCCCACTGGCAGCTGACCCAGAGGTGCAGGAGGCTCTGCTACAGTGTCCATATCACAGTCCAGGCAGCCATGTGGTTCCCATCTGTGTCTGGTAGGCATTCAGCCATTGGGCCAAAGGTCCAAGGGGATGGATGGTGACACACATGGCAGCACGTCCCAGCCATGCAGCAGCCCCCCTGCCAGACTGCTGCAGTGGGTACAGGGCGCAGGAGCCACTGTAGGCTAGGGCTGCTTCAGCCCATCTGGCACAAGGGGCTAGTGTCCCCAGATACTAACTGGCCAGGCCTCAATAGCTGCGGAGGACAAGTAGACCTGAGCTACTTGCCAGGGCAGCTTTTTCTACTGCTGGAGCCAGCACAGATGCTGGGCCCAGTCTCTCCCCCGGGCTGCAGATCTGGGAGGAGCTGGGCAGGGACAGTTCAAGTAACACAGTTTGCCCCACACCAAAGTGCATGTTCAGGCACGTGCTGAGGCACAAATCTCTGGCACAAATTTGTGCTGCTATTTGAGCTGCTACAAGTGCATGTGCCTGCATGCATGGATACACCAAGAGGGTGCATCCACACATGCTTGTTGCTGGGCACTAAGGTGTGCCTGCTCCTTCAAGAGCAGAGGCAGCTTAGGTAGGGAGCCTGGTGAGCTAGGCAGGGCTCCACAGCTGCAGGTTGCCCGGACAGCAGGCTAATCAGGGAATTGGCTGGCACCTGCACCTGGTCAGCTGACCAAACGAAAACAGGGCCCTGAGCACATATAAGTCCCAGGGCTGGAACTGACAGGGGCAAGGAGTTCTTGCAGAAATGCTATGCAGAGATGCTTGGTTGTCTATTCTGCTGCTGGTAAGAATAATGGTCTCTAAGAGCTCCTAAAGTATCTGGGGCTAGGAGGCACACATTGTTGAGGGAGAAGCTTGCCTCCTTAAAGGGGCAGAGTGTGACCTCCAATGTTGTTGTTATGTTATAGCCCAGGAGCTTGTATTTACATTGTTATTTAAATCCAGTGGACCAGGATGAGGCTATTTGGGGAGGGTGTGGTGCTGGGGGCTGTGGTGGGCCTGGTGATGACAGGAGACCAAGCTAAACTGTGGCCTCATCAAAAAGGACAATGTTTAAGTACAATCTGTGAGGCATGGGATGTGGTAAAGGGGCAGTTTTGGAGCCACAAATCTAGCCCATAAGGCTTGGCGTGTCTCACAAGGCACCTATTTAGAACAGGACCCAGCAAGGGGTCTAAGAACCCACAAATTTTAGTGGGGTCCATTAGGACCATGACTGTGTGCAGCAACTTGAGGGCAGCATCCCTATCTATTATCTTAACCAACAAGATGTGGCAGGTGGGACTAGAAGGCGCCCACAAGGTGAAACTGTCACAGAGCCTTAGAGGCATTATGGCCAACCCTGAGGACCCCGCACTGTGACGGTGCTATTAGCACAGAACAATAAATAGGTGCCAGAGTTTTTTGCTCCTGAGAGCCACATTTACATGTGCACCCAGGACTGCAGCATGCCGAGCCAGGTCGAAGCAGCCCCAGCTGGCAGGGTGCCTTGGGGTTTAACCTGTCAGTTCGTGGCTGCTCCAACCTGGCTCAGTGTGCTGTAGAGTGACTGGCTGGGCATGAGGGTGCTCCAGCGTGGAGCTAGCTGGCAGGCAGCCCCTGAAGCACCCTTATGCCCCAACCAGCCTTCTGTGTCTACATGTGCATTGCTGCGCGCTAAAGAACTCTGCCAAATAATAGTACTTGTATTTGCCATGGGTTAGCCCTTGTAGAGTTAACTAGTTTCCTGCAGTCTAATAGGGCCACACACGCAGATGTTGAGACTTTACTGTAGAGCTAATCAGACGGCTCTAGTAAGTGTCTCATGTAGATATGTCCGGGAAGAATTAGTCAAAACTTTCTCTTTGTCATATATGTATGCATTTTCTCAGATACCGTTAATACTCTCATACAAGACTAAACTGACTTTACTGCTCCACTTCAATGTAAAGGACTGTTGTTTATTGAATTCCTTTATTCTGCCTGGACATTGCCATAGCATTCACTAGGACCAGATCCAATGCCCACTGAAGCTGAGAGAATGCCTCTGATATTAATGGACTAATAGTCTCCTCTTCTGGAGGAATCGGTGGGCTTTATGTAAATCCTCTTGGGAACTATTTAGGACTTGTCTAGTTTCGGTCTTACTCCAGGATTATGAAGGCTTCCTTCCAGACTTTACAGCCAATCCTAAACAGGGATTGCGGATGACTTTATGCAGACAAATATCTACTATGAAAACACTAAATGACTACAACATTCAATTTATGCAGAGTCTAAATTGCAATACAACTCAAGTCTCCGGGGTAGAAACAAACAGCACATTAATTTAAAAGCAGTTATTATTTAATTACTCTTATTTGTTTTTATTAATTTTATTCATTTTTAATTATTAATTTAATTTAAAAGCAATTATTATAAACTGTGTGATTCTATGATTATTTTATGTTCACTAATAAACTCTGCCACCCAGCCACAGTCATTAATAGAAATAATACTATTCTTGAGTACTTGAAAACATTTATTTTACAAGAAAACATGCAACAAAATATATTAAAAAAAAAAAAAAAACAAAAAAAACAAAAACATTTTTCTTATGTAATTCACAGTAACTTAACATTTATCTAAACCCTTTCTCCATTTCCGTAGGAATTTTGCCACTTCTCAGACTGCACAGAAGGAAGGAGAGGTCAAGAAAAAGACATCTATGCAGGAAATACATGTTCCTGTGAAGTAAAAACAAAATTCTTTATAAAATGAGAGAGAAACAACAGAGGAATCTCGTTATGTTCTTCACAGTACAGTCTTAAATTACATTTTGTGCTCAAACTGAGACGGTTTGCACCACCTACTGGAAAATATTGCTTATACTGAATCTTGAAACTTTTTTGATCAGGAAAATCTCTTAAAGTTACTTATTTGCCAGATTGTTTTGTTAAATGACATACAAGCATTTTCAGGATCTCAATTTATTTCAAAACCCATTTTGCAAAGCTGCCTGAAAGCCCGATTGATTCATTTGTCAAAATTGGCATTTTCTGCTGCTTACTTCTGAAAAATGATTAAACCAACAGTGTCAACTAGAAAGATATTAGGCCAACCCTGCTTTTGAAAATCTACACTAACTCGGCTATCACTGAAGTCAGACTTAAGTAGCGGCATAGTGCAATCCAGGCCACTTGAAAAGCCCATCACTGTGTTGGAAGGATTATGTGAATCAATATGTATTATCAGTTGTAAAAGTAAAAATAAATACAGGTAACTAGAAAATGACAGAAATCCTAAGAAAAGAGGATAATAAACCAACATTTCAAAATGGCTCAAAAGTCATTCGAGGAAACTGTGATAATTTTATGTGATTGCTGCTGCAATAAAATGATATAAAATATCAAGGCTAAGAAGACTCTATAGGATCTGCAGTGGGTAAATGGTGAACATGTTGCCAGGATTTGCCCCTTGAAACTTGTAAACAGAAACACTACCCATCATAAAGCACCTGAATTCAACACTCGCATTAGACAAATTTTATTGCAAGTATATATTATCCATGCAAGCTGGAACTTGCAGTGGAGGAGCTGATGGTTTTACAAATAGTGAGGCAACTGCCAATACTATTAATTATTGTAAATGGTTTTTGAAGCCACAAGTAAACAATGCCTAAATTCAAGTTTTCATAAATAAATAGAACTTACATTCTTCTTATTTTAAATGAAGAAAGACTTAATTAATTAGATGAAAAATTTCCATAGCAATTAAACACCAAATTGGGTAAAAATATGTTCAGAGATAGCTCTCTCTTTCATGCTACTTCTAAAGTCTTTTAAATCCTCATGACATTGTACTAGAGAACAAATGTAGCAAACCTGTCATTAGTTGGCTCTATCTACTGAAAATAGCCTCTTGAGATCACAACTTGCGTATAATATATCATAACTGGCACAAATCAGACTACAAGGAAAGAGCAATCAATGAGAAAGTCAAAGTAGCAAGTGTTGAAACTGTCAAGTGCCTATAGTATATAATCTCCAGCATTTCTCTTTAGTAAAAACCTGGAAACAGATGGATCACTTTACTTTGATACTGAGAGGCGGCCCCATCCAAGACAGACACAGAACCCATTTGTTTTTGGTTTAGCACCATTTCACAATTTTTAAGGGGAGTGGGACTGAAGAATAGTAGTCAGTCAACAGAAAAGCCTCTCTGCTAATTTGAGAAACTGGGCAGGCCTGCATTAGATAGACTAATCTATTGTGCAGTAAAGCATCACCATCTACAAGTGCTGCATTCACTGCACAGTAAATTAGTCGACTGCATGGCTGGTTACTACCTGTTGATATAGGTAGTAGATTAACTGTGTGGTAGCTACTGCACAGCACAGCACAGCACATGTAGATGCTGACCAGGAGCAATTTTGCCAGGGTCCCCATGTGCACAGGCCTGAGAAGCACCTGCCCCTGCAGCCCCACAGCTCTCCCACTTCTGTGTACATGTTGATGGGTCCCCACGTGCACAGGGCTGAGAGAGACAGCTGCTCCTGCAGCTGGCACAGCTCTCCCAGCCCCACCTGGAGCATGGAGCTCCCTCTGGCTGGGCAGGAGCAGCCCTGGATGGGCTGCTGCCATTGGGCGCAAATGTGTGTCCAAGAGGGCACATGTGTAGATACATTCCTGGGAATGCTTACTGTGCAGTATTTTACTGTGCAGAAAGCCTAATGTGTATTAATAGCATGTGTAGACATGCCCACTGAGAGACAGAAGTGAAAATCTGTGGCAAAGCTATAAGAGATTCCACTATTTCTGATTAATTTAGGCACTAAGCACTTTTCCTTCCTATCTTCTAAACTACAGGTGTCCCTCACTTTATGTGGGTTCTGTATATGCGAATTTGCTCTTATGCAATGACCCTTTTTATACCCAAAATTCATTATATGTGACGTAAATTCACTCTTATGTGATCAGCAGCAGGTAATTACGTGGGGGCAGGGGAAAGGGCTGTTGGCAGGACAGCAGATCGAGGACCCAGGAGCGAGGGAGGGAGTGGGTCACAGGTAGGAACAGGAGTTGGGGTGAATGGGGTCTCGATCTGTACCCCTGCCGGTGGTGAGGGAGGGAGTGGGGCTGGGGCAGAAGCAGGCTCTGTACAGTCGGGGTGGGGTGCAGGATGGGTGGCATAGCTCCTGCTGCTACGGGCTGGGCCCCAGCCTCACTCTCTCCCTCACCACTGGCAGGGGTGGGGGCAGATCAAGGCCCCACTCACTCCAGATCCTGGGGCCGGGCTCTTCCTGGCAGGGGGGTTGGGCTGTGCTGCACACAGAGTGGATGATGGTGGTGTTGGAAGGGAGACTATGGGGGGGCTACAACAAATTTTGGGGTGGCTGCAGCCCCCACATAATCTCCCTCCCAGCGCTGCCACCACCTGCCCTGGTTGTTGGGTGCGGGGTGGGGGGGCGCAGCTCCTGCAGCTACAGGCTGCTGCTGTGGGCCTGGGGCCACGCCAGGATCCTCCTGGCAGGGGCTAGGCTGGGCTGCATTGAGGGTGGGCAGTGCTGGGAGAGGGCTATGGGGGTGGGGCTGCACCCATCCATGGCCTCCCAACCCCACCCCCTTCCAGCACCACTGCTGCCCACTCCAAGTGCAGCGCTGCCCAACCCCCTGCCGGGAAGAGCCCAGCGCGGCCCCCAGCCTACAGCAGCAGCCCATAACAGCAGGAGCCGTGCCCCCCGCCCTGCCCTGCCCCAACCCCAGGCCCAGCTCCACTCCCTCCCTCACCACTGGTGGTGGGGCAGATCGAGGCCCCACTCACCAGGGCTGGGCTCTTCCCAGTGGGGGTGGGGGTGGGCCGCGCTGCGCTTGAGGCATGTGGTGGCGGCACTGGGATGGGAGCTACAGTGAATTTTGGGGTGGCTGCAGTCCCCACGCAGCCCACCTCCCAGTGCCGCTGCTATTGCCCGCACCAAGCGCAGCCTGGCCCAGCGCCCTGCCGGGAAGAGCCCAGCACCGCCCTGCCCCAGAAGACTTACCTGCTGCCGATGCAGTCGAGGTCTTGGAACATATCCTTATTTGTTACCTTGTAAAGTGGGTTGCCTTTATGCGAATTTGAGTTATGCACAGTTTTTCAGGAATGCATCTACTGCATAAAGCGAGGGAAACCTGTATTAAGAGAATAATATTTGCATAGTAATTGAGGGGGCTTGTTTTACTAACTGCATAGAGACAAGGCTAGCTTAAAAGAGCATTAAATGTCATGATGGCAAATATTTACACTTTTATTAGGTAAATATGAATGGTTCAGAGAAGCACAAGCCACTTGTTAGAGGAAAGTACAGAGCCCCTAATAATTTCTAACATCTCATCTTATAAATTACAAACAAAAGGATACAGAGCGTGTTATTTTAAATACTAGCTGCATTAACCAAAGAGAAAATGTAAATAATTGTACAAAAGTCTGCTGTTTGTAGTTGCTTAAACTGTTGAATTTCTGATTTCCAAATCCTTATATATCACCATACCTTAATGGAATGCTTCCCAAACTTTTCCTTGTCATGACCCCATTTCCTCAGCATGGCCCCGCACTCACACCTCAAAGCCCTCCATCCCCTAGGTGCCCCTCACTTCGCACCCACCTGCAGCCTGCCTCCCCAGGTGCTCCAGGACCAGGGTTCACAGCCCTCTGCCTCCCACATCAGTCCCTGAGCCCTGGCTGCCACTCATGGGAGGCAGTGGCTGCTATGGTCAGAGCAGAGACCAGAGTCCAGCTCCCTTGCCCCTTCCCTTGTAGGCGGCACGGCCAGAGCAGGGCCTGTGAGGGAGGGGAGGATGTGGGCAGCCTGTTGCAGGCTTGGGGCTCCCCACCCTGCTGCCCTCCCCCCAGGGGTCCCTGCAGCCCAGCAGAAGGGACCTGGTGTGGGAGGGAGCACTGCACCATGTCTGCTACCTGAGGAGCCCCCTCCCTGCTGGGCAGTAGCAGAGGCACAGCTTCATGCTGCCGGACCTCACCTTGTCAGTCATGGCAGTGTGGCACTTCCTCCCATGCCACGGCCCACCCACTAGGGTGTGGAGGCAGCTCCTGCTCAGAGCTGGTCCAGCCTGGCTGCAGCCCCACGCCCTGCTTTGGGTGCAGGATTCTCAAGGCGGGGAGCACATGCCCTCTCTGCTGTATCACCCATCCCCTCCTCTGCTGCGTTGCTTTTGCTCCCCTGTCCCCCTGCCATGTCCCCACCCCTCCAATGCATCACCTGTTCCCCCACCAGATCCCTGTTTATCGCTACCCCATTCATTGATATTGTGACCCCCATTTGGGGTTGCGACCCACAGTTTGGGAACTGCTGCCTTAAGGCTTTACTCCAGAGACCACAAACTAACTTAAATTGATCCTTTTTTATACTATTAAGGTAGAAATGTAGAATGTTCTGATAACTACGGGTAAGAGCAATTATTTGGATACTATTAGTCCCGGTGCTTAGAATCCCATAGATGCTGTTTATTTCAAGTCCCAGAACGAGTAAATGATTCAGAGGAATTGGTTTTATCACAGCCACAGGCACTGATGTGAAAGTCAGACATGAAAAACAAGTTGCTCCAGACAACGAAGGCTTGGTTGAAACCTACTGTAGACCTTGAGAGTGACAAGTTTTGAAGCACATTTGTGAATCTGTTGGCACCTTAACCTTGAGTGTAATAAACTATATTAATATCTACATATACTGGGAACAGCCTAGAAGGCTGTGAAGATAACTGACATTATTTTCAGGACTAAGGAAGTGATGGAAAGGATTAGCTGAAGACAGTGAAGGCTGTACTTGTTCATGTGTTTCTGTCATTAGTTTCTATCCCCTTAAGCACATGTTCAGATGTGGTCACCTGGGACTCAATACTGTATATTTTAGCTAAAGCATAGGTACCTTGGCAGGATTAGGGCATAAGGCTCATATCTGAAAATTGATCGTAACTGTTATGAAAGCATTTCTCAATTCCTCTAATTTCTGGAGGCTTATCTTTTTGAGATCTAGTTCATGACCTGCTTGCCCAAAGTTTAAGCTATTACTTCTTTCTTTTACAGACTCCATGCTATCCAGGGACGTTCAATAATTACTCATTAGGATGCTGAATAGCTACAGTGGTGTCTTTTCTTTGTTTTCTTGCATAGATGTTTCCTTAACCACAAAGAAACATTCTGCTTCCAATTACGTAGGTGTACATATCTGGAGTAACTCCAAGGAAGTCAATACTGATATTAATGACAATTTGGCAAAATGTGCTGTAAACAGACAGCAAATAAATGGAAGATAAATATTTATAATAGAAAATTATATTTCATTTCTAAACATCATATTTGAACGCTTGTCAAATTCATCCTATAGGTTTTACATCTCAGATGTTATAGTAATGTGTGTATATAGCTCAAGACAGCATGTAAAATTTTTAATTAAGTCTAGAATATTTTAATACGTTTGGCATAAACTATTTACTTTCTATGCCTACACAACTTTCTTTTAATCAGAAAAAATATTTGAACTGATTTGTTATTGATAGCATAGCATAGTGCAATAATGCATAAATCCATTTATACCAATGTTACCAACCAGCAGGGTTTCTGGTTTTCTCTGATTTAAAAAAATCCTCAGTTTTCGGTTACAAAAAAGTTACCCCAAATCCACATTTTTCCATGATTAAAATGAAACACCACTATATATCTATCCATATATCAGTGGCGTTTCATTTAAATCATGGAAAATGTGGATTTAGGGTTACCTTTTTTTTTTTTTTAAACTGAAAAGGGGGAATTTTTTTAAATCACAGAAAACCAGGATCCCTGCTAGTCAGATACTTTTACCAGTCTTGAGTTTTACCTCGCAAACAATTGGCAATTTAAATATTACCCAGTACATTTATCTATATTGCCTCGAGTACTCATCTGTATTATGGACATTAATTCCTCTTTTTATGAATATTTCATTATTCATATCTACTCCTTCTGACTCTCTACAAAGTGCCATAGATTTCTTCTGAATTAAAAATCTAACTATGTCTTGATTTTATTTCCCGAGGAAAATCCCAGTCTCTAACTTTAACTGCCAGTGAAACAAGTGGACACCCATTTGGTGCTAAAATCATTATATTCCAGGAGCTTTTCCAGTTGGAGCAGGACAGTTGTCTAAAATTGTTTTGTACTGAAATATGGATAAAAAGCTGACAAGTTTGAAGATTAGAGTCAGCATGAGACGCTTTACTGCATAGTTTACTGGGCAGTAAGCATGTGCATCTACATGCTCCGACCCTATATCTATGCTCCAAGATCGCGATCAGGGAGGGGGACCTGAGAGAGAAGTATCTCTCAGCCCCTGCTTCGCCATTGTGATTGGAGATGGAGGCTAGGAGATCCTTATAGCTGGGAATCCCTGCCCAGCCAGAGACTTGCTGCTAGCTGCCCTACCAGCAGATTGGGGCAGGGAGTTGGGACCTAGCCCTCCCCTGCAACTCTTTCCAAGTCCCCTGCTCTGAGCAGGGAGTCAGGGCTGGGAACTCCCTGCTGATGGGCAGGGGGGCATTGTCCCCACCCTGGCAGCAGGCTGCCCCCCAGGGCCAGGAAGCAATGTTCCAGCCCCAGCCAGGAGACAGCCGTCTCCTAGCCTGGTGCTCCCTACCAGCCTAGAGCTTCCCCTGGTGGTGGCAGGGGCCCATTGCAAGTCCCCAGGAAGCAAGGGCAGTTTGCTGCCATTAGCAGCAAATCTG